CCAACCATCAAAGGGTTTTATTTTAACCAAATTCAGGGAAAGCGTAAAATTGCATGGGTGCCTCACTGCCCCCTTTTAAGAAATTGGGTTGAGCCAGACCCCAGTCTTGGGCTCCGTATAATATGGCCTTCCTCTGATTAACCTATGTCAAGATATCTGTTCTTGGGCTTACACCTCAAAAGTCTATATCACGAAATCTGGTTCAGCCAGCCCATGGACTTGTTTCTTCGTGTCCGAAACTCATCATTTCACCAGACAATTGTACTGAAAAGATCTGGATAAATTGCAAGTTTGGTCACTTGAATTACTAGTAAATTTCACGTTAGCCACTAGAATTATTTTATTCCATTCGTAGTCACTTAAATTAGGTTAACAGTTCAAGTTTGGTCACCGGCCGTTAGTCTCCGTTAACTTTTGCTGATGTGGCGGTCAACTATTATAGTTGACCGTTAAATGAGTGACGTGGCAATTAATAAAATAAAATAAAATAATTTCTTATTTTCCAGCTAATTATTATAAATTAAAAAAATCCTATTTTTTAATTATTATTTTCCAGCTAATTATTTTATTCGTAGATAGTTTCAATCGAATAATATAAAGTTCAGGCTAAAGCCGGAACCGGCGGCACAGCCGGCCGTTCATTACACCCGTACTCATTTTCACATCGTTCCAGCTAACCGCCGATTGGATATATCTCCTACCTGCCAAATTCCCCGCAGTCCACCAACGAAGCCGGCGATTACCTCGACTCGCCGCCGTCGCTCTTTGACTCTCCCGACGGATTCCACCACATCTACGTCGCCGCCTCTCCCTACGATCTCGACGAGTCGGTGATAGGGACGATTCCAATCTCCCTCTAAAGCAGCAGCGGCAGCTTTCCCCAACCCTATAATAAAAGAAATCTCTCTTCCGCCGGGTCCCCTTCTCTTCTTTTCTTTCTTATTCTTCTTCGTTTTTCCTAGGCGTGCTCTGAATTTTGCCTTCTTCTTCTCCTCTTTTTATTTATTTCCAAATTGAATATCGGCGCGGAGATCAATGGTTGGGCGGTGGCTACTGACAGAGAGATTACTGGAGAAACTGGAAGCGAGGCACCGCCGTCGATGCGATTCGAGCATCGGGCAAAAAGGATTTGTCACACTGCCGGTGATGAGAGCAGCAAGAGGGCGGAGGGAGCGCATAGACTTCCTATGTCTCCTCTTCTTCCAGTTGAGCTAGGGGAAAAACGAAGAAGAATAAGAAAGGAAAGAAGAGAAGGGGACCCGGCGGAAGAGAGATTAGGAGGCGACAGTGGGGGAATGCAGGGCGGACGAGGTAGCTCCAATGCGCTATCGAGTCTTTCAAGTAGAGAATTTGGAGTTCGATTTCTCCGCCCCGGTGGGTTGTGGAGGAGGTAGCTCCGCTTCTAGACGTGGCCAGAGGCAAGGGAAGTTGGGTGGTTGGACCAGGAGAGAGGGGCGGAGAGGAATCTGTTATGTGGTGATGGTTGGGGTCGGGGGTGAGGATGATGTCGTGGGAAGGGTTGGAGCCGGAGAGGAGGTTGGTGGCGGCGAAGGAATCGGAGTATTGGAGGACGGTGGGTAGTAGAATGACGACATCGACGAAGTTAGCGGCGGAGACGATGAACACGATGACGGTGGAAAATAATAATTAAGTAAATTTGGATTTTTTTAATTTATATTAATTACCTGGAAAATAAGAAATTATTTTATTTTATTTATTATTATTTTTTTATTGCCACGTCACTCATTTAACGGTCAACTATAATAGTTGACCGCCACATCAGCAAGAGTTAACGGAAACTAACGGTCAGTGACCAAACTTGAACTATTAACCTAATTTAAGTGACTACGAATGGAATAAAGTAATTCTAGTGACTAACTTGAAATTTACTAGTAATTCAAGTCACCAAATTTGCAATTGAGCCGAAAAGATCTCCACTGGTCACTGGATACGGAAGGCGAGCACAACAGCAACAACAAGGCCATAACTCCATAAGCACCGAATTGTTAGCCTCGCACCTTATCCCCCATTCCCCAGCCTGCGTCCCAAAACCCAGAACTTCCACTTCTCCCCCATCCCATCAATGGAACTCTCCCCTTCCCTCACCTCTCCCCTCCCCATATCATCCGAATTCTGCTTCTCCCATTCCCTCTCGCCATTCCCACTCCAATTTCACTTACCCACTAAAAAATTGTCTTCCCAGAAGGCCACCCGCGTCTTCGCCGTAGCACTAGAGTCACAGGAGCTCCCGCAGAACAGCCCCCAGCGGCTTCTCAAAGAGCTTCAAGAGCGGAAGAAATTCACTTCCCCGAAGAAGAAACTCCCGCCTAAGCGCTTCATCCTAAAACCCCCGCTCGACGACAAGAAGCTCGCCGAGAGGTTCCTCAACAGCCCTCAATTGTCCCTGAAGCAGTTCCCTCTGCTGAGCTCTTGCCTGCCTTCTTCCCGTCTGAACAATGCCGACAGGACTTGGATGGACGAGTACCTGCTGGAGGCCAAGCAGGCTTTAGGGTACCCTTTGGAGCCGTCGGAAGGGCTCGCGGATGATAACCCAGCGAAGCAATTTGACACCCTGCTGTATTTGGCTTTCCAGCATCCCAGCTGCGAGAGGACGAATGCCAGGCATGTGAGGTCAGGGCATTCCAGGCTGTGGTTCTTGGGGCAGTATGTGCTTGAATTGGCCATGTGTGAGTTTCTTTTGCAGAGGTATCCCAGGGAGTCTCCTGGGCCGATGAGGGAGAGGGTTTATGGGTTGATTGGGAAGAAGAATATGGCTAAGTGGATTAAAGCTGCTAGCTTGCACAACTTGGTTTTCCCCTACGATGATATTGATAAGTTGAAGAGGAATGAAAGAGAGCAGCCGGTCAAGTGAGTTTTGCTTCTCTTTTGGGTATCTCAAGTGTTTGTTTCTTACGTAGATTGCATGTTGTTTTGGGATATGATGGTAAAACCGGGAATGAATTTGCTGTTTCTATTGCTATTCCTGCCCCATATTCGGATTCTGTATGCTTTTTTATGAACTGTACTCTGTGTATTACAGTAGGCTAGAGGCTAGTATTGTGGATGAGGCCCGAAAATGCACTATTTGATTTCTTTCATTTGGTATAATACCAGTCAAAGGATTGTTGTATTAGGGTGCGAAATCGGGAATGGGAGGGCTATGTATTGAAAATGAATGGTATAATATCTATTTCTGAACTCTCTCGATCATTCTTGGCATAAAGTGCAGAGATTAGTGCTTTATGTTGTCAATAGGGATGTAGAATGCAGCTACTGTTAATCATTACTGATAAGCAGAATTGGGATTTGGTATTACGATTCTTATGGTTGGTTGATAATAGAATGCATGCATTGTAGAGCATACTCATATTGAGTATTTGAATACCTTTCGCTGTGAGCAGGTCAGTGTTCTGGGCTTTGTTTGGGGCAATTTATTTGTGTTTTGGGATGCCAGAGGTGTACCGTGTTCTTTTTGAAGTGTTTGGGATGGATCTTGAAGCGGAGGATTGCCAGCCAAAGTTAAGAAGACAACTTGAAGATGTTGATTATGTTTCTGTTGAATTTGAAGGAAACAAGCTGAGTTGGCAAGATGTGGCAGCTTATAAGGCAAGCTCTACCTTGCCTGCTGGATTTTGTCAATAAGATTGTATTTTGTCACTAGTAATTCATCGATTTAAAAAAAAAAGTTGATTCATTGACATTGGTTCCTTTGCAGCCTCCAGCAGATGCACTGTTTGCACATCCGAGGCTTTTCAGGGCGTGTGTTCCACCTGGTATGCACAGGTTCAGAGGTAACTTATGGGATTACGAAAGCAGACCCCACGTTATGCGCACCCTTGGATATCCCTTGAAGATGACAGATAGAATTCCGGATATTACTGAAGCAAGGAACATTGAACTCGGGCTTGGATTGCAGGTAACCATGGACCACCAGCGTCCAAATGGTTATATATATGCATGACATTCACTCAAATATGTTTCTTCATTGCAGCTTTGTTTCCTGCATCCATCAAAATACAAGTTTGAACATCCTCGATTTTGCTACGAGAGATTAGAGTATGTCGGCCAAAAGATTCAGGTAATGTTGGGTTCTCTTATACATAAATTTGAGGTGTGTTTGTTTAGGGTAAGTAGTAAGGAACTTAGAAATGACTCGAAGCTGAACGAAGCCCTTGGTTTTCATTTCAAACAACTAATGAAACTGGGATGAACCCATGAACAAGCATTGTTTCGTAATCTTTCAGGACATTGTTATGGCGGAGAGGCTGTTAATGAAGCATCTAGACGCTCCAGGGAAGTTCTTGGCGGATAGGCACAGGAGGATTCTGATGAACAAGTTCTGTGGGAGGTATTTAAGGGAGAAACGGCTGCACCAGTTCATGGTCTATGCCGAGCAGGTCCAAGACAGATACGAGCATAACCGGAGGATGAAGAACCCAACCACCACCTCGGTTCAGCAAGCTCTCCATGGTCTGTCATACACCGTGTATGGGAAACCAGACGTCAGGCGCCTCATGTTTGAAGTCTTTGATTTTGAGCAAATTCAACCAAAACCTGTGGGATGATTTTTCTTTTACTCAATTGTTTGTATATGGGTGTAGCAACCCATTTCCCGCATCTGGATGTAGAGGCTTTAGAGTTTTTTTGACAGTGAAATTGGAATATATATATAGTCTGCTTTGACAACCAGGTTTATGTAAATACGATAGTCAGAGCACACTGCGCATTTGTTGTATGCAAGTGTGTCAATTTCGAATAAGTGTTTGATTTTCCTCCGCCTCGCTTTCTCCTTCACTTATCGTACTTCATCCTCCGAGATCGAACCAACCGGTTCAACTAGGCAGATTTTATGATTTGATCGGATTTGACCGAATCTGAATTGATAGCCAACTAGTTCATGGCACCCCGTGATTTATCCGGTCCAGGTTGAACCGATGAGACCGTTCTGGTCCAACCCCGGTTGAGAATCATGTTTAACCCACAAGTTGGCTAGTTTTTTCGTAGGAACTAAGGAAGATCACTTAAAAATCTTCTGCTTATCTTTCAGTCTTCTTCCTTCCGAGCTCCTTCTCTGGAGGAGATGCGTCTCTTGTTATTCTTCTAATGCTTAAATCTTCTTGCCAACGAATTTCACCGCCGATCAGATCTCAGAAGGGCCATTATTGGAATTCAATTCCATGATCTGAATATTTAGGGTTCTGGTTTCAATTTTTCTACCGGAGGATCGGTTCGACTAATTGAGAATGGCGTTGGCGGTAATCGAGAGCTCCATCTGGTTGCCGAATATTTCGCTCTTTGTCTTCATTTTCGTTTGCTGTGTCTTCTCCATTGGCCTGTTACCTAAAGCCTCCAAGAGTAGTCGATCCGCTGGACCCTTGGACAATGTCGGTTCTTCTTCCTCCTCCTCTGCTTTCCTCCGGTTCCAGCGCAAGTTTCTGCTCATCTATTCTCTAGCCTCAGGTCAGCCCTTCTGTACATTAATAATGTCAATTCAGTAAACGCCCATTAATTGACATCTACTGAATTTGTGGGGTTTCTTCAGTCATGGAAGGGTTGTGGGCGGTGTTTGGAGAATACGAATTGTCATTCCATGGAGTCAGTAAGGAGCAGATGGTGACGTCTCTGTGTGTCGGTTATGTAGCTGCCCTGACTGTTGGTACTGGCTTGGGAATGGTTTCTGATTCAATGTGAGCTCAACGTTCTTGTTTTTTCCCCCTTTTTACTTGTTTGATTCTAATGGGAGTGAAAAAGCTATTCTCTTTTAGGCTCAGTATACATAATTCTAGTCTCATTTTTGTGAAAATATGGATGGTAATACTCTGGTAGATATGATCTGCATTATGGCTTGCAAGTTATACTTGATTCAGAAGTTTTCTGATGGAATTCATTGTTGCTCACTTTCCTGTAGTGGTCACAAGAAAGCCTGCTTGATCTTTTGCACTCTGCATCTCTTTGTTGGTTTGTGGAAGAAAATTTCACCTCACCCAAGTCTCTGGATGGCAAGCATATGTTTGTCCCTTGCTACCTCAATATTTTCCTTCAGTTTTGAGGCCATGCTTGTGGTCGAAAATGAGAAGGTAGGTGTTATATGATGCGTGTTATTTTTTATTTTGCTGTGTTCCCTTTCTGTTTGCAGTGTTAGTATTGTGTTACATTGTGACAATGAATGGCCTCTGCAGCAAGGATTCAGGCAAGACACTCTGAGCGACACTTTTTGGCTGATGACTTTCTTCGAGTCTGTATCATTAATTCTGAGCCAAGTGCTTGCCAATTGGCTTCTCGGAAGTAATGTGGGGAAAGGTATGATATCTCCCTCAACTGCGGCCATCTTTCTATCAGTGATGAGCATCATCTGTGTAGGCAATGGCTGGAAGGAAACCCCAAAAGCTACAGCAACCAAAGATTATAATGTGTCTTATGCACATATTTTCAAAGGTATCAATTCAAGCTTCATCTGGAACTCGCTGTCTGTTACACTTTCTTAGCCTGACGATGCAGAATGCATTTTAGTCAAGCAATGTCGGGATAATAGGCACTGTCTAACAACTCACAACACTGAGGCATATCGGTTAGGTTGAACATTCTAAATGTTCTTCTGTGGATTATAGCTTTTAATTACCAGCACTTTTAGGATATATAGGAGGATCTAATATAGCATGACCGCTAACATGATTTGGTAGAACTTGATATGCCTGTTAGTTATTGATGTCAATTTACTCTTACCAGACAAACGGATATGGCTCCTGGGATTTGCACATGCTTCCCTTCATTTCTCCATTGCTATTTTTTGGATTTTGTGGGCCCCGACTGTAGTGGTATGATTGCTTCTTTATCCTTAAACCTCAGATTTAATTTTGATCAACTTCTTGTTTATGCCATTTTTCTTGTGACTCTTATACGCATGAGTAAACAATTCTCCCTTGCATTTGGAATTTTAGACCTTGAACGGATTTCAAGCTTTGAAGCTTAACCTTATTCTTCTTCCGTGCTAGATTAGGCTGATGGACGAGAAGCGCATCTAGGTTTGGTTTATCCTTGCTTGTTGGGTGCAAGAATGTTGGGAAGCACAATATTCCCATGGCTATTGACCGGTCCTTCATCTCTTCGTACCGAGGATTGTCTCATATACGCATATATCCTTCTGGGAATCTCCTTCTCTGTAATAGCGTATGATTACCAGGTACTAAATGTTGAATCTCCTCAATACATCATAATTGTTCGCCAAATCTCTCTCTGATATTCAGTATCTGTCATTGTGGCTTCTTTACACATGCAGGAAATTGCAGTTTTGGTGTCCCTGTTTTGCTTATTCCATGCGGTTTTGGGTCTGATCATACCTTCTCTTGCAAGATTGAGGACAATGTAAGATTTAACAAATCTCTCGTCGGGTTTGTTTGTTTGCCTAAACTGACCAATATTATTTCCCGATTACTAGTCATTATTAGCTGTTTTTGATCGTCTTTGTTCTTCTATGAAATAGGCATGTGCCGAACGAGTTACGTGGAGGGATGATCGCACTTTCGCTAGCTCCTGCAAATGCAGGCATACTTTTTTTGTTGGTGCAAAGAGGATACTACCAGAGCATTGAGAACTCGACAATGATTGCACTTGCATCAGTTGGGCTCTTCACATCAGCTGGTTGCATGCATCTGTTGAAGCAGTGGGGGAAGCAACCTTACCAGAACTGGCATAAGATGTGATTCTTCTGGATGCATCGTTTTCTATATGCTGAAGGACTCGGAACCGAAGTGGGTATGCTGCAGCTGCTGGCATCTGGTCTCTTTGCATTGCAAGGTGGTGATATCAAGAAGTGGAGAAATGGAATGTTGGATAGCTCCAATGCCGAGAATGATGGAGCATACTGTTTTTCAGAACTCTCTTACTTTTCGAGGGAGCGACAGTTGAATCATGAGTGAACAAGTAGTGGGGGATTTTCGTTCTTGTGTTTCTGCAGCTATGAAGAAGGAACATAGTGAATGAATCCAACATAAACAGGTGCATGGGAGTGGATTCCACAAGATACGGCCTGCTGAAGCTGTAACTTCGGGTTAGATCAGGAGATTTTTGTAATTTAGTTTTCAACTTATTTTTCATGGTTGTGTGGATCATCTCTTCTGTTGAGAACTAGAGTTGCGGACGATAGGAATAGTTGCCATATTGATTGTATTTGTATCTATTATTGCCTTTAGGAGCAAAGTTTTGAATGATTGCATTGACTGGGGCCAAATTTCGCTCCATAACTTAAACAGATGGGATAAAAGAAGGAAATAACTCTATCCCATGGCGAAGGTAAATCTTTGCTTAACTGATCAAGATGTTCCTAATCGTATGACGGCACTTAGAGTGTATAACAAATTTGGAACTTCACTGAATGGATGGACTTTCATGAGTGTCACTTAATTCTAGGGCGGGAAACGGTGTGGTCTGGTCCAGACTAGATCATATATACGGTCTATGGTCCAGATCAAGAGGTTGAAGTATAGACCACAGACCAGACCACAAACTATACGGTCCGGTCCAGACCACGCATGTGCGGTCTGGTCTGATCCAGATAGACCACACTCAACAAAAAATGAATAATTTGTTTAGTCAACCACACAAAAAATTGAACCAATAACCAAGAAAAATAGTTGTTATTTTCCTTAACACATTAATCCTAACATGCGTGAATAATTTTGATGGTAGACATGTGTCTTATGCACTTTTGTTATGTCTTTAAATTAGATGGTAGACATGGGACTCCCTCTTTTACACTGTTGAACTAAATATAGTTTTTATGAATTATTTCTTCGACCATTTAAACTCAGAAAGCCATCCATCACGAGTTGTCGTAATTTGGTAGTTAGTGTTTGTACAAAGGAAAAAAATGTTGAGAATAAAAATAGGAAAAAAAAATAGTTTATAGGAAATAATTAAAATATGTTGACTTAGTCTTAGCCTGAGAAAACCCTAACTAGATATGGCATTTAGCTTAAGATATTGGATCCTAAAATAAAATCTGCTTGCGCGGTCTACCACTCAAGAAAATAGAAAAATCTTGAAAGAAACCCATTGTTGGATTATAAATTATAATTGGTCAGTACACGTGGGGTTAAATGCTAATTATAATTACAAATTGTTTGATCTTGGAGTAGGCGGCAAGTAAAAATAGCCGAATAGGTTTAGGATTACTCCCCTATAAATATGTTACCATTAGGCAATCAATTCGCATCTTCCGATTCGGCAAATTAATCAGCGACTGCTCTTGGTCCCCTAGCTCAATCAACTTATTATTGCCATGAGGATGCCACCAGCGGAGCGTGGAAAGCGTTCAAAGCCTAAGGCAAATGATCCTAATAAGAGGGAGATGAGTCTGGAGGAGAAGCATAAACTAGGAATAGTGTTGCAGAGATTGCCGGAGAAGATGCTGCAGCTGGTTGTGCAAATAGCGGAGGAGAGGAATGGCCATTTGAGGCGGGATGGAGATTTCATTGAGCTCAACCTTGAAGCTCTTGATACCGAGACTCTGTGGGAGCTGAATCGATTTGTCTCCAAATTGAAAAAATTGGTGAGAAAGTTTAGGCGTCAAGCATTAATGGGTGGCAACACTGCTTCAATTGGTGCAGTAAGTGAAGGCATCAGGATGTTAACAGTGCAGGACAATAATGTCAAAAGCTAAATAGTTCCAACAACAAGTTATTGATATTGGATTCGTAATTGCCCTTATGAAAGGACAATGTTAATAGTTCCAGTCTCATTTTTAAGTTGTATATTGATTTCTCTTTGACCCTTCTTTGGTAGATTCATTGAGTTAGTACCATTTTTATTGTATGAATGAACGAGAAGCTTTCAATCCAAGTCTCGTTTTTTTTACGATTTATAATTTTCTTGCGTCAAAGTATTATTATCGTTATAACAAAAATAGTAATTCCGGCGAGTATTGATATAAGAATTATTAATATATAAAAGCCTTGGTTCCAGGCACTGTTCATTAGTGGCATCCACTTTCCTCTTTGTGACTGGGCAATCTCCAAACCATTGCCTTCATTCGCCCACGTGCCTAGCTTCCCCTCTCACACAAATGCCCACTCCTCCTTATTACCCCACTCGCCAATAAAAGACCTTTGGATCCAGCCTTTGTTCATCAGTTACTCATCAAAACTCTAATTTCCAGGAAACAATTCATTAGTTCTCAACAAAGGATCCTCACTCGCCACTTTACCTTCTCTTCCTTCTTCTGATTTCTCTCCTGCCAATGCTGCCATAAGCAACCTTCTGCTTCATCTTATCTTCTCCTCCATACCACACAAACTCTCCCTTTTGTTCGTCGGTTCAGAACCTCTCTCCCCTTTCCATCTACTTCCGATGACTCTTTCCCCAATCCCCACACACTATCTTGCCGCTTCGCCGACCCGAGATCCACGGAATCCCACCAGAACCTTCTGTTTAGAGAAAATCCTCCCATACCCTACACACTCTCGGCAGAATACTGCCTTCCCTCTCCTGCATCGTTTCAATTGCCCTCTCCCAAAGCTCGATTCTGAACCCCCGTGCTTCGTTTGGCCGTTACCCCACCAAAACTGTAGCTGCCTTTCAATCGACCACTTTTCAGCTAATGCCCCGCAACGGCGTGACGGGAAGGAGAGTAGTTGATGTAGAGGAACAAGTTGAGGTGGAGAACGCGGCGGCGGCGGAGGTACATCGATCGCTCTCGCCCTTTTCGGCAAAAACCCAGGTACCGATCTCTCTCTCTCTCTCTCTCTCTCTCTCTCTCTATTTAAGAAAGGAATTGTTGGAATGGAGAAAGAAGTTTAAGAGGAGGTCATGGCGGCAACGAGCTCCTTCATGGAGGAATCACAAGGGAGATTTGAACTCGGTGGACAAGCACCAGCGCCAGCTCGAGGTCCGACTCCGGCAGCTCTAATGCGGAAGGCGACGACGACTAGAAGAATGCCGACTACTATTGAACAAGGAAGAAGAAGCTGAGGAATGAAGAAGAAGCAGAGTTGCAGAACCAATAGGGCAGAAACGTTTCTACGTTTCTGCCTTACACTCCATCCGACAGAGAGAAGACCCAAAGCGACGTCGTGGAGGTTCTACTTACCGTTGGGTGGAGTTAACGAAGGCCAACCAAATGAAGACACCTGGCGCTCTTTTATTACTGCGTTTTATATTTCGGTTTAACAGACTTGTTCCATTTTTACTATTGAACACTTTACTCTGGTTTTACCCTGCTTGATCAGTATATAATGAGAAGCAGTAGCAAGAGCCCTCTTTGCGGGTTCCCCCAATCATACCGCCTCATTTCTCCTCTTCTTCCTAGAACCCTAACCCTCTAAGGGTTTTCTATATGGTATCAGAGCTGGAATAAGTTCCAGCGTTCTTCCGCAATGGCGAACACGCCACCAAACTCACGAACTCCAGGTGGTGGACTCAACAGTGGAGCTATCCCCTTTGGATCTTTTGATGCACAATCAAGCGGCACTGGTGGATCTGCCAATGGAGGAAATGGGAGACCAGATCTACTTTTTGGTAATCCCTTCTATATCAACCCAAACGAGAACATTTCTCAATCCATTGTTTCTGAGAATCTGGATGGAGCTAATTACCAGATGTGGCAAAGAGCTGTTCGAATGGCTTTGAAAACTAAGCACAAACTCGGTTTTATTGATGGTTCAATTCCTGCTCCTACTGTGGGTGATGTTAATTTCGCTTTATGGGATGCTTGCAACACATTAGTCTTGTGCTGGATCATGAACTCTCTTGACAAGGAGATTAGGCGTAGTGTTATGCAGCATGAGAATGCAAGAGTTCTCTGGGATGAATTGAAACGCAGGTTTGGAGTCACCAATGCACTCAAGTTAGCCAACCTGCAGGACCAGATTATAGCTTGCAAACAAGGTTCTCTTAACATCACTCAGTACTACACTGCTTTCAAGGGATTATGGGAAGAGAATCTTCAATTTAACCCAATAGTTGAGTGTGACTGTGTTGCTCAACGAACTCGCCCCTGTGCTGCTGTAGAGGCCTTTAAGCAGAAGCAAGAAGTGGAGTATTTGATCAGGTTTTTAAAGGGTTTGCGTCCTGAGTATGAGATTGTTCATACTCAACTGCTGATGATGAAACCACTGCCAACAGTGGACAATGCAGTCAATGATCTTTTGCAACATGAGCAAAAGATCAAGGGTGATAAAGGTGGAGCTGCTAAGGGAGTTCAATCAGTGGCTTTGGCTGCTCAAGGTGGCCAATCCAACAGTTCAAAACCTCCAGCCAATCCAGAAGGGCAGAAGTTCTGCAGGTACTGTAAGAAGGAGAATCACAATATTGAAGACTGTTATAGACTGAAGAACAAAAAGGCAAGAATGAATGGTGGGAATGTGGTAGCTGCAGTGTCTCAAAGTGACTCTTCAACTGATAGTGACACAGGAAGTTCAGATACCAAACTTAGTGTTGACACAAGGAAGTCCACTTTCAGCCTTTCTTCAGCAGAAATGAACAAGCTCAAATATCTTCTTCAATCAGTTCCTTCTACTTCTCCCAGTCCTTCTCCACCTACCTCACCATCAGTGAATCACCTTGCCTTCTCAGTGGCACAGCATATTCCACATTTTCCAAATCAAGCTGGTAAGTTCATCTTATCTTCCTACTTCCAGCAAAGAGATAGTTCACTTATGGACATCTGGATCTTAGATACTGGGGCTTCAGATCATATTGCTTGCAATCTGAACTCTTTTGTTGAATCAAGTCCTGTGTTTGGCCAGTTTGTGTACCTGCCAAACAGTACTAAGGTAGCAGTAAGTCACATTGGAAAGGTTAAACTTCCTATAGGCATTATCCTAGACAATGTCCTCCTAGTGCCTAGTTTTACTTTCAACTTGGTTTCAGTCAGTAAACTTACCAATGACCTCCCTATCTCACTTCATTTTGAATCTGATTTTTGCCAAATTCAGGACCTCATGACCCAGACCAGGACTGGTTTGGCAAAACAGATTAGAGGACTTTATCAAATCACTACCAAGACATCCATTCCTTCTTCTTTCAACCTACCACAAGCTGCTACCACTTACAACTTCACCCCACAACCTATTGAGCTATGGCACTGGAGGCTAGGACATCCCAGCAAACAAAGAGAAAACATGCTTTTACCTTGTAATAGGAGTCCAGTATCACATTGTGAAACATGTCATTTTGCCAAACACAAGAGGCTTTCTTTTCCTGTTAGTTCTAGCCATGCACAGTCTGCCTTTGAACTCATTCATGTGGATATTTGGGGTCCACTTGCTGTTAAATCCCATGAGGGATATTCTTACTTCCTTACTATCGTGGATGATTACTCTAGAGGTGTTTGGACCTATCTCATGAAGTATAAATATGAAACTAGCCAATTGTTGCAAGCTTTATGTATTATGGTTTCTAGACAGTTTTCTAAAACTGTCAAGATCATCAGAAGTGATCAAGGGAATGAGTTTCATATGGCTGAGTTCTATGCTGAACAAGGCATTGAACATCAACAATCCTGTGTGGAAACTCCAGAACAAAATGCAAGGGTGGAGAGGAAGCACCAACATATCCTAAATGTTGCCAGATCCCTTAGGTTTCAGTCTGGTGTTCCCCTTCGTTTCTGGAGTGATTGTATACTCCATGCTGTCTATTTGATTAACAGACTGCCTACCCCAATTCTTGGTGGGAAAACTCCCTATGAATGTTTGTATGCTAAGCCACCAAGTCTTGCTGGTTTAAAGGTGTTTGGATGCTTGTGTTATGCTGCTACCCTACACAGGGATAGAACAAAATTTGACAGCAGGGCTAGGCAGTGCATTTTTCTTGGTTTTCCCTCAGGAATTAAAGGTTATAAATTATATGACATCAATTCTCATACATTCTTCACTTCTCGAGATGTCACTTTTTATGAAACCATTTTCCCATTTGTCTCTAAACAACCTTCCCCTATTACAGATCCTATCTCTCCCACTCTTTCTCCCTCAATTACAGAACCTATCTTTCCTAGCTTTTCCCCTCTTCCCAGTTCCATTCCATCATCTTCATGTCCATCTTCTTCTTCCCAGCCTACCCCCACCATCTCACCATCTGATCCTATGCCTATTCCCAATTCTTCTTCTTCATCTCCTTCTTCTTCTCCTGCACTGCATCCTAGTCCTGCTTTGTCTCCTTCTGGTGAGTTGTCTGGTGTGCAGTCTGTGGGGGAGGATGCTGAGATTGAGGTCTTCCCTGATCCTCATGATTCAGATGAAGCAGAATTTATCAGGAAGTCCAAAAGGACTAAGTCTGTACCTGTGTGGCATAAGGATTACCATGTTAACATTGCAGCTTCTTGTACTAAACATCATGTTTGGCATTATTACACTTTTGAGCAACTCACACCTGCTCAACAGAAGATTGCCTTGAGCATCATGGCAAATGAGGAACCAACTTCCTATGCTGAAGCTTGCAAGGATCCAAGGTGGCATCAAGCCTGTAAAGAAGAGTTGGCAGCATTGGAAGAGAATCAAACATGGGATGTTGTTAAGCTTCCTCCTGGAAAGAGGACAGTAGGAACCAAATGGGTGTTTAAAATCAAGTACAAGGCAGATGGGAGCATTGAGAGATTTAAAGCAAGATTGGTAGCCAAAGGCTACACTCAAATTTATGGGATAGACTTCCTTGACACATACTCTCCTGTGGCAAAGATCAATTCAGTAAAGACCCTTCTAGCTGTTGCAGCATCCAAGGACTGGCATATACATCAGATGGATGTATCTAATGCTTTTCTACATGGAGATTTGGATGAGGAAGTCTACCTTGATATACCTCCTGGAGTTGACATTCCTAAGAATTCAGGTTTGGTTTACAAACTTAAAAAATCCCTGTATGGTCTTAAACAGGCCAGCAGACAATGGTTTGCAAAATTGACTAGTGCCCTGATGAAAAATGGTTTTTCTCAAACTGCTTCAGACTATTCTATGTTTGTTAGATGGATTCAAGGAAGAGTGGTGGTTGTTTTGGTGTATGTTGATGACATTTTGATTGCTGGTAGCTACCTTGGAGATATTGAGCAGTTAAAAACCTTTCTAAGCAAGGAGTTTAAGGTAAAGGATTTGGGTCAGATGAATTACTTCCTTGGATTGGAAGTAATGAGAGATCACAAGGGAATATCAGTCAGTCAAAGGAAATATTGCTTGGAGTTATTAACTGACACAGGCTTTCTTGAGGCTAAGGGCTGTTTATCTCCAGTTGACTGTAATGTGAAGTTAACAGCAAGCCAAGGTGAAGAATTACCAGACCCTAGTGTGTACAGGAGGTTGATTGGAAGACTTCATTATTTAACTATCACCAGGCCTGATGTTGCTTATGCAATACAGCAGTTGGCTCAATACCAGACATCACCACGAGTGGAACATTTGCAAGCTGCTCACAGAGTCATTAGATACCTGAAACACACTCCAGGTCAAGGTTTAATGTTTAGAGCTGATTCAAACCTTGAACTGTCTGGACTCTGTGATGCAGATTGGGCAAGTTGCCCTGATTCCAGAAGATCATTGACTGGTTATTGCACCTTCCTTGGAACATCTCTTATTACTTGGAAGACGAAGAAGCAGACAACGGTTTCAAGATCATCATCTGAAGCAGAGTACAGGGCATTAGCTCAGGCGGTTTGTGAAGTTCAGTGGCTTAGAAATTTACTGCTGGAGATGGGAGTGAAAGTCCCTTTGCCAGTTACCTTGTTTTGTGATAACAAGTCAGCTTTGCACATAGCTGAGAATCCGGTTTTCCATGAGAGAACCAAGCACATTGAGATCGATTGTCATGTCACTAGAGAGAGGCTCAAATCTGGTTTGATCAAGCTGGAACATGTAAGAACAGATGATCAAGTTGCAGACCTATTCACTAAAGGTATGAGTCGTTATCGTCTGAAGTTTCTTCTGGACAAGCTGGGAGTCTACAGTGCCTACTCGCCAGCTTGTGGGGGAGTATTGAACAAGGAAGAAGAAGCTGAGGAATGAAGAAGAAGCAGAGTTGCAGAACCAACAGGGCAGAAACGTTTCTACGTTTCTGCCTTACACTCCATCCGACAGAGAGAAGACCCAAAGCGACGTCGTGGAGGTTCTACTTACCGTTGGGTGGAGTTAACGAAGGCCAACCAAATGAAGACACCTGGCGCTCTTTTATTACTGCATTTTATATTTCGGTTTAACAGACTTGTTCCATTTTTACTGTTGAACACTTTACTCTGGTTTTACCCTGCTTGATCAGTATATAATGAGAAGCAGTAGCAAGAGCCCTCTTTGCGGGTTCCCCCAATCATACCGCCTCATTTCTTCTCTTCTTCCTAGAACCCTAACCCTCTAAGGGTTTTCTATAACTACAGCGAATTTTTTCCTTCCCTCCATTCACCCAACTCAATGTGGTTCCGTTGAGGGAAAGATTGAGTTTCATTTTGTTGATGGGTTGTATGTTATCTGCTTTTGTGGCTTATGTTGGTTATTGCGGCTGACCTCAGGAAAGCTATGGACAACACTCTACTCGACCTCCCAAAGCTGAAGCGCCACATCTACGCTGTCTTCTTCTGCCTCAAAACCGGTCTCAACCTCTACATCCAGCTCTCTTCAAATTCATTTACTTTGGTGGGTGCATTTTCCTTCCACTTTTCCCCATTTCTGCCATTTCATTGTGGGACTCTAATGTCAAGGAATGCGTGGATTGGCTCTAGGTGACGATAGAACTCATTCGTGATATTTTGGATCAAAAAGTACCTCTTGCCAAAGCAACCTATGCTGCCTTACAAGAAAAATAAAGTTACAGTTTCTTTTCATTCCATCCTTTCCCCAAAATCCACATCGAATTCAGCTTCTAGAGTATTTGTGCTTACATTGTTGTTTCAGTCTCTCATTGATTAGGTTATGTTCAGTGTTCAGCTTCTGTTAGTTCGGGTAGCTTTCCAATCGTGAAATATCTTTTATCAGTTGAAGTTAATTGATTGCACTATTAATTCGTTTTTAGAAAATTTTGTTGACTTTGTTTGGTTGTTGATATCTTTGTTATGTGTCATGTTGTAAACATAACTGCCATTTCATAAAATTCGGTTGCGATAGTCTGGAAGGAGAAATGTGCTTCCTACAAGCTAGAAGCCATCATTAGTTAGAAGCTCTATCAAACAGCTCCATTGTTTGCCTAGAGCGTCTGTGGGTTAACAAAAGTTGGTTAGCAACTTCCATTATACTGTTCGATTTCTAAGCCCCTTGGTCGATTAGGTTATGTTGTTTGCCACTGCCACTATGGATTCAGAGTGTTTTACTAACAAGCTGTAACATATTTGTACTATCCATTTCGTCAGAGGCTTCAATTTTTCTCTATGGCATTTGCTACATAAACCTTCACATATGGACTTTGCTGGTCTCTTTGGTATTCAATGGACCAGTAAGGGCATTTGTTTATACTTTTTGGTTGATCTGTGATCATAAATACACAAAAAAACTGAATTGCCATCCATTCAAAAGGAAAGAACCCAAAACCCGTTAACCACCCCTAGACTAATTGATCACAACTCTTCAAGATGAAGATCTTAATGTGGTCCTCATAGTCAAATGAGGGGAATTATGTGTTGCCTCTGCAAGTTTTCTATCTGCTGCAACTTTGTGGCTTTAACCTATCCCACAATGGCTTTACTTCTTTTTTTATCTGACATTTTACTTTTCACAGTACAATTGGAATCTGTCATCGAGAGATTAATTGCATATGAAGTAACGAGCAAAACTTAGATTGAAAAGAAAGGTTCAATTTGGTTGTATCATTCTGATGTACTCAGAGATTGGGGAGGACAGACGGACCAGCATAATTTTATGCAGATTGGGGAGGATACGTAAAGAGGGATAGGTACCCTTTTCCTTTTTTTACTTGGTTATTCATTTCATACTGATGTTCATTTAAGTTTCGAACTATGTAGTTTCTTTTCTTTCTTGGAAAGTATCCGCCATAGAGGAAGCATACAGGACATTCGATTAATAATGGTTCTAATTACAACAGAGGCATGAACTACTTGGGATTTGTTTGTACTAAAAGCATAAAAAATATGAAGCTAGAGGACATCATTTGATTGACATATAAATATCATGTTAAGTATAGGCCAAGCCATTACAGCTATATTAGCGAATCAACATCTGTAAGTTTGTCATTAATTGGAGAATGCTACGAATGTTTTCCCAGGATCTCAATTCACTGTGTTTATATGTTGAAATTTTAATACAGAGAAGCACCGGAACTGATTGTGCTTACCAAAAAGGGCATTTGCTTCCTGTTAATGCTGCCTTCTGATTGTTTTGTTGTTTTGTTTGTTAATTAATTCTATAAACTGGAATGCTGCAATTTTACAAGTTTGGTGCAAGCTACCAAGAAGAGAATTAGACACCCTTACAACTTAAACAATAATTAGATCCGGTGTATACACTGTGGAAGATTTATGTGCCATGACAGGAAGGTGAAGAGTAGGAATAAAAATTAATTAACGCTAACAAAAAGATACTGATAAGACTCTTACTTTTTTCCTATGCTGCAGTACAGGCCTCCCAAGGCACCAACAAGGTCCCAAGCCTTGCAGCCTCAATCTGTGAAGTTCTTGGGTTGGTTCGTTAGCTTTTCTTTTTCAGTGTTGAATGTTAGGTGAATGTTATGAGGGGATGTCCCATGTATCATTCAATAGTTGCTACCAAGTAGTGGACTGTTCCATCTAATTAAGGTTTCTTGGTGCAACTGTCAGTTTTAACTGTGGGGCTCTTACTGGTTTTCCATGCAACATCCATCATTCTCTCTCGATTGCTTTCTTTGGAGTTGGGGATGGGCAATGGGATGCAATGAAACAGTTTGGTGATAACATTCCTGCATTTGACAACTTGCAGTCGCAGGTACGTACTTTTCCAGATATAACTTTGTTACATGATTCTCTAAAGTTGTAAGCTTTAGCAGAAACTATGATTGAACTAAAAATGAAAAGGTTAGACATAACATAATTATGCAACAAGGGTTGTTTGTTTCATTAGTTAGGATGATGTCTACTGTTAGTTAATTATTTGATCATTGCCTGAGAGTTCACTGAACTATGGTTTTGTAACAACAGGGTTGCTAAATTAAAAATCTCACCAAGATGCCAACTAAACCAAGTGATGTACAACAAAATGATCACTACTAACTTGGTTTTGGTTCATATGAGTCTACCAACTTATGCACCCACTTTAAATAACCCTTTTTCAACTCAGCCGTATCTGCAAAATCAAATCCCAACCAGAGATCCTACCCTTTCATAAATTGGAAAGGGCTGGGAATGGTGTGCTGATTGGATAATTTTGGTGACGATGTGAGCCTATATCATATGCTAACTCTAACAAACTAACGGTGTAGTAGATGGAAGGAAACATTTTTTTACAAATCCCTTTGGTTAGTATTTTGTGATGCTTTTTTGTTTACTGGGTTTCATTTGCTCTTGCTTTCCAATACAGAGCCACACAAAGTATTGATTTTCTGGGCAGATTTATGACTTTAAAGTTGATTGGGTTATAGCAGTATTAGTGGTCTCCATTAAAGTTGCTTCTGTACCTTCACTTTTGCTTCTCTTTTGAATTCAGATTCCCTTACGTTTCCCTTTTGTTGCAGCTGCCATATCCTCCTCTTGACGTTTTATGGTTGTAGCAAAGATCAACCTGTAGAATTCCTACTTTGTTAGCCGAGCATGAATTTAGTGTTTCAGCAACATGCTAAATTGGAAGGAATAACGGCCTTAGCTGAAATTTTACTTATAATTTTCACTCAGACCTACAGAGTTTTTGTTTCAGTATTGAGTTGTTGGTTGTTGGGAGATTTATATTCTATTCTGTCATATGTTCTGACAGTTAAGCGATTCCTCCTTCCAGTCATATGGTTTAGAGAGACCACATCTACAGTCCTTATTTAGCCACATTTGTTGTCAGTTATGCGTTCGCCATTTGTTCAAAACAATATCATGGACATGGCCTCAGCTATCAGTCGATATTGGAATTGTCTCAATCTGCGCTTTTTTTTATTTATCGAAATGATTGAATATGGAAAACTGATTTGTTCTGGATCAGTTTCATGATGCGCCAAAGCAATTACGATTTGTTCACCTTTTAATTATCTTTCATGCTTCGCTTAAATTTTGTTCTTTATTTGAAAGGATATTTGTCTTTCCTACTTATCATTAGGGGTAGAATGATCCGACAATCGACATTATAGGAATTAGACTTTGTAGTACTGATTTTGTGCTTTTGCATATGTGCGAAGCGTAGCGAGCGGGTCCTTGTTAGTATGGGTTAATTTCAAGTTTCAACCTTTTTCTTTACCCACTAGCTACTTTACAGTCAAATCAAATTGGCCCAAAGTTTGGTGAAAAAAGGGGATTTCAGACGTTGGCCTTAGTGAAGTTGTGTGGTGTCAAAAGAGGTCAGTGATGACTGGGAAACTTTTCACTGGGGCCAAACAACATGCTAAGTAATTAGTGTATATCCTCTTGTGTCATCTCCCATTGCGCATTACTTAAAGTTTGAAAGGCAAAAGTTCAAAAGAGGTTGGATTTGGTTTGCTCATCCATCGTCTTAACCGAAAAGAATGAAAGATCTGTTATCCTAAGAGGGCCACAATATCCAAACATTGCATTGGCAAAGTGCTTTCGAGAATGTTCATATGCATTAGGTCTACATCTATGATACATGGAAGTGCTACCGACAAGGTTCCTGGCGGCAAACAAAACTTGCATAGCTAAAATATCAATTTATATGAGCTAAGACAAAGTGACTAGAGGGCCCTTTTAGTCACGTGACTAAGTGAATCTCAGCTTTCATACCTCATTAAAATTCAATGTCTTAGAATAATATGGTAAGTGCAGGATTATTCTATATTTTTAATTATTAAACAATTTACAAATTAATTAACCTGCACTTCCGTTCACCTCCCGCCAACCAGACGTCTCTTCAGCCGGTCCTTTTCGGGGAACTCTGATGGATTTTTTGGGAATTAATCCCGGTGGCTTGGGATTTTTTTGCCAACAAGAGAGCTCTGCCATCCTTGGAAGTGGAAGTGGCCTGGGGCTTTTTTGGAGAGAGAGTTTTTTCCGGTCGACTTTTCGACGATCAGAGACAATGGAGGAGGATTTTCTGGCGTGTTTGTCGGTCTTTTTGTAATGTTTATAAGTCCAGCTTGTAATTTTATATTAATTCGGTTTGTATCGTTTATTATTCTAGTTTGTCATTTTTGTCTATTGTGTTTGTAATGTGTATATGATTAATTTGTATATATTTTGATTTATAATATTTTTTAGTCAAGTTTGTATACTTTATATTATAATTTGTATATTTTATATTCATTGATTGGCAATAAAATTTTACAGTATTTTATTTAAGTAGTGTTATTTTTTACTGTTAGTATGCTTTGTAATGTTTGTCGGTTTATTCAGTAATGTTTGTAAACTTTGTTATTTTGTAATATTTGTTGGTTTCTTTTGTAATGTTTATAAGGTTTCACTACAAGAAACTTCACTTTTTGCGACAAAAATATACGTTACAAAGTACAAAATCCTTCGCGAAAAGATATATGCGACGAATTCGTCCGTCGAGGAAAAAATCCAAAATTCGTTGCCTATAGTGTGTCGCTAAAAGTTCTGCGATGAATTTTCGTGATTCGCCGCAGAAAAACTAAATTCGTCGGTGAAATATCTCCAACGTTTCTGCGACGAACTAATTCGTCGTATCAGAAAATTGTCCGTCGCGGAAGCCTTTGTCCCGCCTTCTACTAAATTGCACCACCTACGGTGACGAACTAGTGTCATCCACCATTTTTGTCAACCATGTTTGTAATATTTTTTATGTCTAAAAATAATCTGGTTGACTTTTGGATGAAACTACTCTATATAGATATGGAGCCTCCAAAGTCAACCCGGGTGTCTGTCAATTTTGTATGGTTTGTCGGTCTATTTGTCATTTTGGTCCATCATGTTTGTAATGTTTGTATGTAAAAAAAATAACAATCGGGTTGAGTTTGGGACAGAACCTCTCTATATAGGGACGGAGCCTCAAAAGTCAACCGGTTTGTTTTTTTCAATTTTTGAGGTTGATATTGTTTGTCGGTTTAGTTTGTATTGTTTGTATAAATCGTATGTTTTGTATTGTTTGTAAATCTGGTTGTTTGTTTTGTCGCTCTAGTTTGTATTAGTTGTATGTTTGTACTGTTTGTAAGTGCGGTTTGTATACTTCGTAATTTTGATAACACTGAATTTGCACATGTTTTTACCCCTCATTCTTGATTTTTTAGTTTGGTATTGATCATACTTTGGCCTATTTATCATATAGTTAGGGGAAAACATACCTGAGTGACCCTTCTTGCATTTGAAAACCGAACAATTTACTTGTTTTTTCTGCTATTTAGTTTTCCACAACTTCACCACAAATCGACAGCTAGATAATAGAACATTCAGGGAGTAGGCAGTACACCTAGAACGTAGGTTGACAATATGAACCGAACCCACTTTACTGCAGTCCCTCCCAGTGGTTATGCTTGACCATTTTTAGGAGTGTTGTGTTTTAGTGAGTCAAGTTTTTGGCGCCGTTGGAGGATCCTTAACCTTGTTCTCACTCGATCAGTTTCACCCAGTGCCACATCCACTCATTGGATCACTAAGCGGGCAATTTACCTTATGTAAACGATGACCATACTCGAGGATCCGCTACATCTGGGATCAGTAGTGGCGAAGACCCTAGCCAAGAAGGCAAAACACCCTCAACACCTGTTCAGCGGACCCATAATCACCTTGTTGGCCCAGTCCCACCGAATCGACCACATATTCCTTGCGGACATCAATGAGACCGTCGAGGCGTTGACTCCTTCTTCCTCACTAGAGACACTATCCATCTGTAGGGGCTGATAGTGGAGGCCGACAAATACAAGTGGGTTGTGGGTTTCTCTCTCTCTCCCCCCCCCCCCCCCCGCGCTAAGAGTGACGGGGACGATAACGAGGGCGACGATGTGGCTGTCAGAGGACGAGTCAAAGCTCGAGTGGCCCCTGTTTCTTCTCCTCCATGTTGGAGATCTGTGTGAGGCAAGTACTCCGTCGGTCCTTCTGCTTCGTGGATGGAGTTCTTCATCGATTAGTTCCATCAACTGTCCCTTCAGAACCAACAACTATTGGACAAATAGATCCAGCTTGAGGACTACTACCGGAGGAGACATGACCAGTTTTAGGCTCGCCAGCCCACCTACACTACCAAGTGTAAGGACTCTCCTCCGCAAGCGCCTCCCACACATGGTGATGACACATTCATGGATGACATCGACTTCACGGGCCTCTGAGCCCCGACTTTCTCATGAACTTCTCCTTTATGTTTTGATTTTAGTTTTGTTCCATTTGTGTGTGGAGTGTGAAACTGGATATCTTGACTCCTTCACTTTGCTTTTGCGACCCTTTGGGGTTATGACTGTTTTTAACTTTCATATGGTCTAGTGGGTGTTTTCTTTTGAGTCGTTGTTTCAGCGACTGGTTCGCCCTCCAGTCCATCTTCGGTGACTGGTCCACTATCTTGTTCCACCACCATTGGACTTCACACTGATAAAATCGTTCCCATTATCCCTGTACTTGCTCCATTGAGGGCAATGTTGAACTTAAGTGTGGAATGTGATTTTTCTATAATTTTTGTCTGTTTTTTTGTGCATGTTTGCAGCCTAGTCCACTGTCCAAAGCTTGAGATTTGAGAGCTCCAAGCACAGATTTCATGATCATATTAGGGCATTGTGGTTTGTATGATAAATCGATTGGCTGTTAGGATTGATATATGAATGACTTGTGTGTGATTGAGACAACCTATAATGATGACTCAGACGTACGGTAGAGTTGTGTAGGGGTTCAGGTTTCAACTGTTTGCTTACCAACTATGACTTGGTTTGATCATTCATTTATTACAGTCATGTATGCATAGAGGATAATGAATCGGAATGAGAGATAGAGCATATAAGGTAGCTATGTGAGATTTGATTCTGCTCTTTTTTTTTTCTTGTGCGATAAATCCATCTTACCATGACGTGTAGCATTCACGTCGCCACTAATTAGGAAGATAGAGGTATAGGATTTAGGGTTGACTATTTGGTATGGACTTTTTGATTTTACCCATAACTGGACCGGGACTGGACATGAAACAATCCAATCCCATCTTCGGGCTTAGATTTGAGGTAAAAAATCGTTGGGCACCATATCGAAAATCGGATAGAGACCGAATAAGAGAACCCAACACCCAAAACTTAACCAACTACTCACCCTTTGAGGCCTCATACTACTCAAATCCCCACAAGCTCAATCTAAAATCAAGACCGAATTGGGACCGGACCGGGTAAAGACAGAGTCGTATCGAACCCAATCTTTGGTCCTTATATTCCAGAAAAGACCGGACAGAGACCGAATCAATTCGGACCAATTTAACCGGACCGGACCGTATAGCCACCCCTAATAGGATTAGCCCATATCCAAATTGATTGTTATGGTGTGTCATACCCCTTAGTTAGCCTCTTTGACCCGTGTAACTTTCTTTCTTTCTCTTTATAAAGAAAAATCAACCTTAGGCACAAAGTGGTTTTTGCATGTTTTATGCGGGAGATAATGTGAGTGTTGGAGACAATT